GTCCACCCCCGGAACGCTGCCCAATTCGTGCCAGCCTCCCTGCAAAGCCACGGGCAGCGCTGGGCTGTGAGCCCCGCAAAACACTGACCCCCGGGCCAGCCCCCAGCCTCTCACACCCTGGGCCTGCGGCCTCTGTGACACCCACACCAGGTTGCTGCACAGACCTGCGGGGCCTGGAGCTCAGGGTGCAGAGGAACGCTGAGGAGCTGGGCCACGAGGCCTTCTGGGAACAGGAACTGCGTCGGGAGCAAGCCCGGGAGCGAGAGGGACAGGCACGCCTGCAGGCGCTAAGTGCGGCCACTGCTGAGCATGCCGCCCGGCTGCAGGCCCTGGATGCTCAGGCCTGTGCCCTGGAGGCTGAGCTGCAGCTGGCAGCGGAGGCCCCTGGGCCCCCCTCACCTATGGCATCTGCCACTGAGCGCCTGCGCCAGGACCTGGCTGTTCAGGAGCGGCAGAGTGCGGAGGTGCAGGGCAGCCTGGCTCTGGTGAGCCGGGCCCTGGAGGCTGCAGAGCGAGCCCTGCAGGTGAGCCTGGGGACCTGTTCCTCTGTCACTTCCCCACCCCTTATACCGGCAGATTCGGGGGTCACAGGGTCTGACCTGGGGGGCAGGTGAGCCTGGGGACCTGATCCCCTGTCAGTCCCCCACCCCTGATACGGGCAAATATAGGGGTCACAGGGTCCGACTGGGGAGGCAGGTGAACCTGTGGACCCGATCCCTGTCACTCCCCCATCCTTGACACAGGTAGACATGGGGGTCACAGGGTCCTACTCGGGAGGCAGGTGAGCCTGAGGACCTGATCCCCTGTCACTCCCCCACCCCTGACACCGGCAGATATGGGGGTCACAGGGTCCGACTCAGGAGAGCACTCCCTCTGGGGCCTGAGCATGGAGCCCTGTGGCTATACCTCCTGAGGGTCCCATGTGCCCCCAGGCTCAGGCTCAGGAGCTGGAGGAGCTGAACCGGGAACTCCGTCAGTGCAACCTGCAACAGTTCATCCAGCAGACTGGGGCTGCGCTGCCACCGCCCCCACGGCCTGACAGGGGCCCTCCTGGCACTCAGGTCGGAGTGGTTCTTGGGGGAGGCTGGGAGGTGAGGACCTGGCCCAGCCCCACTCCAAGCTGACTTCCCAACCCACAGGGCCCTCTGCCTTCAGCCAGAGAGGAGTCCCTCCTGGGCAACCCCCCGAGTCCCATGCTGGTGCCCAGCCTAGGCCCCGAGGGTATGTCTGTGCTCCACCTCCCCCTGGGGCACTGGGCCCTCCTGTGGCTGCAGCCACCTCAGCCTGTGTCCTCCCGCAGTGGCCCCCATGAAGCAGAACTGGAGGTAGCAGCAGCTCCTGCCCCAGAGTGGTGTCCTCTGGCAGCCCAACCCCAGCCTCTGTGACAGCCTAGTGAGGGCTTCGAGACCAGCCTGCCCACACCACAGAAGGAGAGTTGGTGGTCACAGAGGGCTCCTCCCCCACACAGTGGGAAGCCCTGGGTTTGGCCTCAGGAGCTGGGGTACAGGGGGGGACTGCCCTAGTCCTTGCCGGTCTGCCAGCACCCTGGAAAAGCATGGGGCGTAGCCAGCTCAGAACCTGCCAGGCCCCCAAGGCCACGACTGCCTGTTGGGGACAGGAGATGCATGGACAGTGTGCTCAAGCTGTGAGCATGTGCTTGCCTATGGGAGGGGTCCTTCACTGTGTGTACACGGCAAAAGCACGTGTGTGCCACTTCCCTTACCCCAACGTGAAAACCTCAATAAACTGCCGGAAGCGGCTTGATTGTGTGCCGAAGCTGCGCCGGGCAGGGTCTGAGGCCTTGAACTTGAGCCTCCACGGGGTGCCACTGAGCAGTACCTTGAGACACCTGGGGCACGCCACAGCTGGAGTGTCTGAGAATTGGGTCCCTCAGGCACCAGTGCTCAGTAGGGCCCAGGGCTGGGGCTTCCTGGGCTCCACATTCCACCTGCTCTGCCTCACCTAACCCCAGGGGCTCTCCTGTGAGGCCCCAGCCTGGTGGGCCTTCTGGTTCAGCCCAGCCTGACTGTCCTGGGCTTGTCTGCACCCCCTCCCACCTGATTTCCGTCATCCTGTTGCCTGGGCCCCACCAGCAGCAGGAACTGAGGACACCAGGACAAGCTAGACCCGCCCGTCAGGTTTACTGAGAACTTGTGGGGGCGGGTCCCAGACTCAGGTCAGCCAGGCCCAGGCCACTTCACCAACCCAGGGAGGGCATGGGTACTAGTGGGCAGGGGCTCCCTCCTCCTCCCCAGGTGGGTGTGAAATGTCTGCTATGAGCTTGAAGCTTTGATATTGGGGCAGGGGCCGGGCACAGTGGCCCATACCTATAATGCCAGCACTTTGGGAAGCTGAAGGGGGGGATCACCTGAGATCAGGAGTTAGAGACCAGCCTGGCCAACGTGATGAAACCTCATCTCTACTAAAAATACAAAAAAATTGGCCAGGCGCGGTGGCTCACACCTGTAATCCCAGCACTTTGGGAGGCTGAGGTGGATGGATTACGAGGTTAGGAGATCGAAACCATCCTGACTAACATGGTGAAACCCTGTCTCTACTAAAAATACAAAAAATTAACCGGGCATGATGGTGGGCACCTGTAGTCCCAGCTACTCGGGAGGCTGAGGCAGGAGAATGGCACGAACCCGGGGTGTGGAGGTTGCGGTGAGCCGAGATCCCGCCACTGCACTCCAGCCTGGGTGACAGAGCAAGACTGTCTCCAAAATAAAAAAAAAAAAAAATCGTGTCCACATCCCAGCCCAGTCCCTGCCTGGGCCCTTGGGCTAGCTGTCACCTCTCCTGGTCCTCATGGTAAGCCATACACCCCCAACTCCAGGGGCCATGGTTAGAGTTAGAGAAGAATGTGGGGGACCCCTACACCTGGGTACAGCCATGGGTGGGACTGGGACAGAGGATGGGGATGCCCTAGGTCAGGGGTGTCCAATCTTTTGGCTTCCCTGGGCCACACTGGAAGAATTGTCTTGGGCCACACATGGAATACACTAATAGCTGATGAGCTTAAAGAAAAAATCGTTAAAAAAAATATTGCAATGATGGCCGGGCGCGGTGGCTCAAGCCTGTAATCCCAGCACTTTGGGAGGCCGAGGTGGGCGGATCACGAGGTCAGGAGATCGAGACCATCCTGGCTAACACGGTGAAACCCCGTCTCTATTAAGAAATACAAAAAACTAGCCGGGCGAGATGGCGGGCGCCTGTAGTCCCAGCTACTCGGGAGGCTGAGGCCGGAGAATGGCGTGAACCCGGGAGGCGGAGCTTGCAGTGAGCTGAGATCCGGCCACTGCACTCCAGCCTGGGCGACAGAGCGAGACTCCGTCTCAAAAAAAAAAAAAAAAAAAAAATTGCAATGTTGGCCAGGCACAGTGGCTCATGCCTGTAATCCCAGCACTTTGGGAGGCCGAGGTGGGCGGATCACGAGGTCAGGAGATCGAGACCATCCTGGCTAACACGGTGAAACCCTGTCTCTACTAAAAATACAAAAAATTAGCTGGATGTGGTGGCAGGTACCTGTAGTCCCAGCTACTCAGGAGGCTGAGGCAGGAGAGTGGCGTGAACCCAGGAGGCAGAGCTTGCAGTGAACCCAAACTGGACCTCTGCACTCCAGCCTGGGTGATAGATGGAGACTCAGTCTCAAAAAAAAAAAAAAAAAAAACCTCACAATGTTTAAGAAAGTTTAGATTTGCGTTGGGCTGCATTCAAAGCCACTCCATGGGCCGACAGTTGGACAAGCTTGCCCTAGATCATGGGGTCTAGTGGGCGAGTTTGGGATGGACTCAGCTTTCTCTTGGGTGGCCCTGGATCTGGGTCTGGTGCTGCCCCCTTTCCCTGGAGCAGACAAAGGGAACGAGGAAGTCCTGAACTTGGGCAGGGAAGCCATCCACAGGGCTTCCTAGAGGCCAGGACCACCAGGAGCTCACTGCTGTGCAGGTGCAACTCAGCTTGGTTATTTCCTGCCTGAGGCAGGGAACAGGGAATGCAGGGAGGCCAGGCAGCAGCGGAAGCCTCCAAACGCTGGCGTCAGCAAGCCGGAACCCCCACCTGACCTCACTCCTGTCTGCCTGGCTCACAGTCGCCTGTCCCTGGGAGGTCCTTGGGGGCCTGGACCTGCCTGACCTGTGGCCCCAGATGGAGCTAAGCCCAGGGTCACAAGGGGTGGAGCCTGGAATGCATAGGCCAAGTGAGTTGTGCCTGGGCAGCAGGCCTGGGGTCTGAGGGGCCTACTCCTCCATCCACAGCCCCCACTGACATTCTGGAGGGATGGTTGTACCTCTGTGACCAGCCCTCCACACCGTCACACAGGCCAGCAGGGGGCAATACCAGGTGCCATCCGGAGCCCACCCCCACGTCCTCCCGGGGGTCATGAGCTCTGCCCCACATGCCCCAGCCCCCCAATGGGAAGCAGGCATGGAGCTGGCAGAGCACGCAACGCACTCTTCCTTTGTGTTTTTGAGGAACACCTGTTCCTTTTGAGGCCACTGCCTAGGTGCCCGTCCCTGGTCTGCTGCTGCTAGCTCTGATGAAGCTAACCGGCCTTCTTCCCCACCAAGAGGGTGTCCCAGCAGCCGCTTTGTTCCAGGGTGGGGAAGGCGGGGAGCCTTCCTCCTCACTGGCTGTTTCATTTTTTATTTTTTGAGACAGAGTCTCTCTTGCCACTCAGACTGGAGTGCAGTGGTGCAATCTTCTTGTCTCGCTGCAATCTTCATCTCCCAGGTTCAAGTGATTCTCTTGCCTCAGCCTTCCAAGTAGCTGGGATTACAGGTGCCCACCACCATGCCCAGCTAATTTTTGTATTTTTAGTAGAGATGGGGTTTCGCCACGTTGCCCAGGCTGGTCTTGAACTCCTGATCTCAAGTGATCGATCACCTGCCTCCGCCTCCTGAAGCACTGGGATTACGGGCGTGAGCCACCGCGCCCGGCGTCTCACTGGCTGTTTCAGGTGAACCAAATCCCATGGCCCCAAAAAGTTGCCAGAATGCTTCAGATCACTCAGCAAACCTTTGAGTTGCTGAAAAGTTTACTTTTGAGTTTTAAACTATACTTTGAAAACTATATTGTGAACTGTGCTGACGTGAGGAAAGGCTGGGCTCCCTAAAATCATACAGTTCCACAGCAGGGCGGACCCAAGCCCAGCCAATCCCCAGGCGATGCAGGGCAGAGATCCCACCTGGTATAAGTATGGGCAGAGGGCAGAGCCAGGCTGTATCGCGGGGCAGTGCTGGCGCCCTTCTCGCCCAGAGTTCCTACTCATCCCTAGCACAGAAGTGCTCTGTAGGGCCAGCTGAGGACATCCTGGTTCACTGAGCGTGGCCCACAGTAAGTCACCGTCTGGCAGTAAGTCAGCTCTGCAGGTGTGGACCCCAAGGCCACACACAGCCTTTCCCAGGTGCAGGTCCTGCCAAGCCTTGGTACGCAGTGGTGACAGGCAACCCCGTCAGGACAGGGAGCTTCCAAAGACCAGTTCGAGTCCATGCCAGGCGTCCACTAAATCTGCCTCTCCCTCTCCAGCGAGTGGGTGCAGCCCTCAACTCCTGCAGACCTGGGGAGGGGGGACAGGGCCTGTAGGCTCGGACTCGCCCTGGTCCTGATTTTCACAGTGGACTTCAGAAGGCAGGCTCAGCAGACAGGCCGCTGGAGGGTCCATGCGCCGATTCCTGCAGTGGCCCCACTGAAGCAGCAGACACACACAGAAGCACCAAATCCCTCACTCTCTTCCAGGAGGAAGTCCCCAGAGGTGGCCCTCAGGAGGATGGTCCTGTTGGTTCAAGATATGACCACAACACCTGTGCCTGCCCAGGGCCACCTTCGGCTTGGCAACAGGAACTCCGCACACCGGTACCCTGGACACACAAGGAAAACAAAGTTCCCTCCAAGAGGGTATCTAGCCCAGCCTCAGCCCCAGTAAGCGGAGGGCAGCAAAGCCCCCGAATGATTCCGCTTCCCCCCACCCGCCGTCCCTGGTGGCCAGACAGGCACACCCCGTCCACAGGGCACCCCCTCCCCACAGTGTCCAGCTGCCCTCGCGTCCCCGTGTGGCCGGTCGCCTGCCCGCCAGACCCGGGTCACGGGGCCAGGAGGGTCGCGCTGCCCAGGCACAGATCAGCCGCTGTCACACGCACAGTGGGTCTGGGGCAGCGCAGTGTGCGGTGGGCAGGGGCTGCCCTGCGCCTGGAGGGACTGCCGGGTGGGCGGGCGGAGGGATCGACCCCACCCCCGTCCCCTCCAACTTGGGCGTCCGAGCCCCGCCGCCCCTGCCCAGCCCGATCCCCCGCAGCCCCTGCGGGAGGGCGGCCTCTGAGGGGCGCCCCACCCGCTAACCTGGGATCCCTCGCGCGTCACCTGCGACCCCGGCGCGGGGTCGTCGCCGGCTCTCGGTCCAACTTCAGCTGCGGCCGCGGGCACCCTCGCGCCCCCTGCCCGCCCCGGGCCCAGCCGCCCCACGCCCAGCCCCGTATGCAAATGACATGGTCCCATAGCCAATGGCCGGCCGAGCCGGGCCCGCCCTACTGCAACGCAGCCAGTGGGCGCGAGGGGGATTCGCGACGCCCCGCCCACCGCCGCGCGGCCCTTCGCGGGCGAGGCTGGCGCGTTCTTTTCTGCACGTCGGCCCGGGGAGGGGCGGCACCTGCCGGGCGGGGCCTGCGGGGCGCCAGCTGCGAGGGCGCGGCGGGGCCAGGGCGGGTCCCCCAGCCTGGCGGATGGTACGGCCCGAGGTGGCCCTCCTCCCGCCTCGCGGTGGTACGGCCCGGGCTCGCGGGGCTTCTGGGCTGGGCGTAGGGCACAGCCTGGCGCCGGGTCCTCCGCCCGCGGTTGTGTGTGGGGCGGCAGGGCCGGCTGGGAGCTGCCCCTCTCCCAGCGGCGCGGTGGTACGACCCGGCCCCGCACCCGCGTCCCGCGGGCCGCCCCCCCGACCCCGCTGGGTGCCCGGCTCACGTATCCCGGGCCGTGACCCGGGAGGGGCCTGCGCGAGCCCGAACACGGCGTCCTCGGGACGCACGCGCCATCCCCCGGGCGACCTGGGGTCCCCATACTACGCCCGGGACCGTCCGGCTGGCGAGGAGGGGGCTCTGGCTCTGCCTGTTGCCTGGCGACCCCCACGGGGCGCCCTTGGGGACTCTGGGTCCCTCCTGCGCGCTCTGTCTCCGCGGAAGCCTCTGGAGCCTGGAGCGGGTGCTGCACGGGGCTCGGGGGTCCTCGCAGCCCCGTGCCGGTCTTTTGCAGGGGCGAGGCGAGAGTAGCCTGTCTGTGCCCTGAAAAGGTGTAAAATCGAAGGAGCCTTGACAGTTTGACCTTCGTTAGGACGCGCAGGGCCAGCTTCAGACCTGGAAGTATCGGACTCCGGGGTGAGGCCCCAAAGTGGCAGCCAAGGGAGATTTGGCCGCTGGTCCCCCTTGGCACTGTCGCCCTGGTCCTCGGCCCGGGCTGCCCCCCTTCGGCTCCCTGGCCCTAAACTCACCGCCCTGCTCTTTGTCCTCCCCTGGCCCCATGACCTCCCTGCGTTGGCATCCGTGCAGGCCTAGGCCGCAGCCTGCTCGCTTCCCCAACCCCAGCCCCGCTGGAGAAGTGCTGGGGCCCCAGGGAGGCTCTGACCCAGCCCATGTCCTCAGGGGCTTGAAGGCTGGGAACATAAATTCGGGTGCAGAGTCTGGGGTGACTGAGACATGATCAGCAAGACATGACCGAGGTCTTTCTGACCCCTTGACCCCTGGCCCCCAATAGAACCCAGTGGCTCCTTGCACCTCCGGCCGCCTGTGGATGGGGAAGGTGCCCAGAGGAGCCTGGAGCCACTCTGTTCTATTGGGGGTCAGAGGTCAGCAAGATCTCGATCGTGTGGGTCATGAAGGAGCCCCCAAGAGTGGGTGGGATCCCTGAGAAGGCCCGTGTCTTCATGGCAGGGCAGAAGCTCCCAGGGCAGTCAGACTAGGGGACAAGAAGGGGCAAGAGGACAGGGCAGCTCTGTGTTCCTGTTGTGCACTGCTGACATGAACCCACTTCTGCCGCAGTCCTGCCAATTTCACAGGCACCTTTTTTCACCATCTGTAATGAGTGGGATGGTGCCCCCCGAAAAAGAGGATATATCCACATCCTAATACCCAGGCCCCCCAAATGTGCCCTCACTGGGAGAAAGCGTCTTTGCAGATGTCATTAAGGGAAGCATCTTGAAACGAGATCATCCTGGACTACCTGGGTGGGTCCTAAATCCAATGATCAGTGTGCTTAGAAGAGGGAAAACAGCCTGGGCACAGTGGCTCAAGCCTGTAATCCCAGCACTCTGGGAGGCTGAGGTGGGCAGATCACCTGAGGTCAAGAGTTTGAGACCAGCCTGGCCAACATAGTGAAACCCCATCTCTGCTAAAAATACCAAAAAATTAGCCAGGCGTGGTGGTGTGTGCTTGTAATCTCAGCTATTTGGGAGGCTGAGTCAGGAGAATCGCTGGAACCCGGGAGGCTGGCAGTGAGCTGAGATCACGCCACTGCACTCCAGCTTAGGCAACATTGTAAGACTGTCTCAAACAAACAAACAAAAAACAAAAAAAGAGAGAAGGCTGGGTGCGGTGGCTCACGCCTATAATCCCAGCACTTTGGGAGGCCAAGGCGGGTGGATCACCTGAGATCAGGAGTTCAAGACCAGCCTGATCAACATGGAGAAACCCTGTCTCTACTAAAAATACAAAATTAGCCGGGTGTGGCGGCACATGCCTGTAATCCCAGCTACTTGGGAAGCTGAGACAGGAGAACCGCTTGAACCTGGGAGGCGGAGTTCGTGGTGAGCTGAGATTGCGCCATTGCACTCTAGCCTGGGCAACAGAACAAGACTCCATCACACAAAAAAAAGAAAGGCCGGGCACAGTGGCTCACGCCTGTAATCCCAGCATTTTGGGAGGCCGAGGCGGGTGGATCACGAGGTCAGGAGATAGAGACCATCCTGGCTAACACGGTGAAACCCTGTCTCTACTAAAAATACAAAAAAATTAGCCAGGCGTGGTGGCAGGTGCCTGTAGTCCCAGCTACTCAGGAGGCTGAGGCGGGAGAATGGTGTGAACCCAGGAGGCGGAGCTTGCAGTGAGCCGAGATGGTGCCACTGCACTCCAGCCTGGGTGACAGAGCGAGACTCTGTCTCTAAAAAAAGAAACAGGCCGGGCGCGGTGGCTCAACCCTGTAATACCAGCACTTTGCGAGGCTGAGACGGGCGGATCACAAGGTCAGGAGATCGAGACCACCCTGGCTAACACAGTGAAACCCTGTCTCTACTAAAAAATACAAAAAAACTAGCCAGGCGGGTGGCAGGTGCCTGTAGTCCCAGCTACTCAGGAGGCTGAGGCGGAGAATGGGTGAAACCCGGGAGGCGGAGCTTGCAGTGAGCCGAGATGGGCCACTGCACTCCAGCCTGGGGACAGAGCGAGACTCTGTCTCTAAAAAAAAAAAAGGCCGGGCGCGGTGGCTCAACCTGTAATACCAGCACTTTGCGAGGCCAGACGGGCGGATCACAGGTCAGGAGATCGAGACCACCCTGGCTAACACAGTGAAACCCCGTCTCTACTAAAAAATACAAAAAAACTAGCCAGGCGAGGTGGCGGGCGCCTGTAGTCCCAGCTACTCCGGAGGCTGAGGCAGGAGAATGGTGCAAACCTGGGAGGCGGAGCTTGCAGTGAGCTGAGATCCGGCCACTGCACTCCAGCCTGGGCGACAGAGCGAGACTCCGTCTCAAAAAAAAAAAAATAAAGGCCGGGCGCGGTGGCTCAAGCCTGTAATCCCAGCACTTTGGGAGGCCAAGACGGGAGGATCACGAGGTCAGCAGATCGAGACCATCCTGGGTAACCCGGTGAAACCTCGTCTCTACTAAAAATACAAAAAAACTAGCCGGGCGAGGTGGCGGGCGCCTGTAGTCCCAGCTACTCCGGAGGCTGAGGCAGGAGAATGGTGCAAACCCGGGAGGCGGAGCTTGCAGTGAGCTGAGATCCGGCCACTGCACTCCAGCCTGGGTGACAGAGCAAGACTCCGTCTCAAAAAAAAAAAAAAGAAAAACAGAAAAAAAGAGACACATACACAGAGGGAGGCCATAGGAAGTTATAGCCAAGGAACGCCTGGAGACGAAGCTGGAAGAGGAAGGACCTCCCCAGATCCTCAACAGGGAGCATGGCCCTTCCAGCCTGGATCTCAGACTTCTGGCTTCCAGACTGAGAGAATGCCTTTCTGTTGTCTAAGGCCCCTGGTTTGTGGCCGTTTGATATGACAGCCCTGGGACACACAGACATCTGCCTTCACTAGATACAAAATGCAGCCCTGCCGATCCCTCCCCCAGCTCTGAGAGGTTTAACTCTTTGTTCTCACCCCACCCACCTCCTCCAGCCACCCCTGCCCCCGCCTCCCCCAGGCATCCACCTGGCTCTGGGGCCCCCTGTTGCGGAGGGGGGGTGGGATGAGTATCGGTAGGGGCGATGATGGAGCTCACTGCCCACCAAGCCCTGTATGTGCACACAGACCTGATGGCGGGGTGGGGGGCAGGGGTGGGAAAGGGCTGGACTGGGCCCTCCGGGAGAAGCTGGCCTGGGCTGGACAGAAGCAAGGGAGCTCCCAGCCCAGCTCCATCCTCCCTGGGCACACCAGGAGCATGCACGCCATGCTTGTGTCTGCAAGGGGCACAGGGAGCACATGGCAGCATTGACTAGCAATCCGGCCAGAGCCTCAGTGTGCGGGTCTGTGTGAGGCTGTGTGGGCAGAATGCACGTGTGTGCACACTGACACTAGCAGGTGATGGGGTGGTTGGGGGTGACCTGTCAGTGTGCAGGGGAGGTGCTGTATGCGGGAGGTGTCTGCCTGCTGGTGTGTGAGGCATCTATCCATGTATGAGCAGGTAAGGAGTCATTTTGTGTCAGGACAGTGTGTGTGGGGGGGGTGGGAATCAGTAGGTTGGAGGTATAGGTATGTGCCCGTGCTCTCAAGCACCACCACCTATGCACAGTTTAGGCCTAGTTTGGCTCTGGGCAGCTGCCTGGGGGTACTTCTCACACCTGAGCCTGAGTGTTACGTGGCATACCTGGGTTGGTTGTGCACTGACCAAGGATTATGCTCACTGAGGACGTCCTTCGTGTCTCCATGTGGATGCATGTGTTTATTTTTGAGACAGAGTCTCGCTCTATCGCCCAGGCTGGAGTGCAGTGGTGCAATCTCGGCTCACTGTAACCCCTGCCTCCCAGGTTCACAGCATTCTCCTGCCTCATCCTCCCAAGTAGCTCGGACTATAGGCACACATAACCATGCCCAGCTAATTTTTGTATTTTTAGTAGAGATGGGGTTTCACCGTGTTAGCCAGGTTGATCTCCAACTCCTGACCTCAGGTGGTCCTCCTGCCTCAGCCTCCCAAAGTGCTGGGATTGCAGGTGTGAGCCACTGCACCTGGCCCTATTGTTTTTTTTTTTTTTTTTTTTTTTTGAGACGGAGTCTCGCTCTGTCGCCCAGGCTGGAGTGCAGTGGCCGGATCTCAGCTCACTGCAAGCTCCGCCTCCTGGGTTTATGCCATTCTCCTGCCTCAGCCTCCCGAGTAGCTGGGACTACAGGCGCCCGCCACCTCGCCCGGCTAGTTTTTTGTATTTTTTTTAGTAGAGACGGGGTTTCACTGTGTTAGCCAGGATGGTCTCGATCTCCTGACCTTGTGATCCGCCCTCTCGGCCTCCCAAAGTGCTGGGATTACAGGCGTGAGCCACCGCGCCCGGCCGGCTCTATTGTTTTTAAGACAGGGTCTCACTCTGTCGCCCAGGCTGCAGTGCAGTGATGCCATCACGGTTCACTGCAGTCTCAGCCTCCTGGTCTCAAGCAATTCTCCCACCTCAGCCTGCCGAGTAGGTGGGACTACCGGTGTGCACTACCGTCTCAGGCTAATTTTTTTAAAATTTTTTGTAGAGAGGAAATCTCACCATGTTGCCCATGTTGGAACTCCTGGGCTCAAGTGATCCTCCCGCTGTGGCCTCCCAAAGTGCTGGGATAACAGGGCGAGTGCCACGGTGCCTGGCCTGGGTGCGTGTGTTTATTATGACAATTACCAGCAGTCCCCCAGGTGGCCTGTCCTCCTTCCCAGGAGCCTCGGCGTGTCTGTGGATACCCCTGCATCTAGTGTCCAGCAGGCAGACACATGGCACATGCAAAGGTAGGGGAGGTGCCTGGTGCAAGGCAGAGGGCGGTCCCTCAGCCCGCTGACCACACGGGACCCCACCTGAGGCGTACCCATCTTGTCCTCACAATGACCGAAGAGGTAGCCATGAGCACCCACATTCCTGTTTCACAGCCAAGGACACAGAGGCATACAGAGGTTGAGAAACTGAGACTGAAGTGTGTGAGTTCAGGAGGCTGGCCTGGGTGACCGCCCTGACACCCAGCCCCTCTGGCCCACCAAGAGTAGATTGCTCCAGAGTCCTCCGCAGTCTCTTCGGCACCATCCACTCCTCCTTCCTTCAGGGGCATTTTCAGAACCCATAAGTGCCTGGTATTTCTCTCATTGCAAACAGAAAACTGTGGGCGAAATATTACTTAGGTGCCAAGGCAAGAGACTGAAGGCACAAACTGTTTCAGTATAATAAAGAAAAGAGAATAAGAATAGTCATAATACAAATTACATATAAAGATGATTATGGACAATTATCAATCATTGTTATAAACATTATTAACCATTAGCTTTTAATATTACTCTTTGTTGCATTACTAATATAACCAAGGAATAACCGACGGGCCTAGGGTCAGGTGCTGAAGGGACATCCTGAGAAGTGACGTAGAAGGCAAGAGGTGAGCCCTCTATCACGCCCGCATAAGGGCCGCGTGAGGGCTCCTTGGTCAAGCGGTAACGCCAGTGTCTGGGAAGACACCCGTTACTTAGCAGACCGCGAAAGGGAGTCTCCTTTCCTTGGAGGAGTCGGGGAACACTGCTCCACCGGCTTCTTGTGGAAGGCTGGATATTATCCAGGCCTGCCCGCAGTCATCCGGAGGCCTAAACCCCTCCCTGTGGTGCTGTGCTTCAACGGTCACACTCCTCGTCCACTTTCATGTTCCTCCCGTACTCCTGGTTCCTCTTTGAAGTTCGTAGTAGATAGCGATAGAAAACATAGTGAAAGTTTTAAAGTCTTTGATCTTTCTCATAAGTGCATTGAAGAAAATGCCGATGTATGCTGCCTTCTCTCTGTGCTTCGGCTACCTAAAACGGAAGGGCCCCCTGTCCTATGAGCACAGGACTTACTTCACCTTATCACTTAGAAGATCCACCCTCCTTACCCCGCCCCCTTATATGCAATAAATATCAGCGCACCCAGCCATTCAGGGCCACCGCTGGTCTCTGCGTCTTGATGGTAGTGGTCCCCGGGGCCCAGCTGCTTTCTCTTTCTCTCTCTGTTTTGTGTCTTTATTTATTACAATCTTTCCGCACACGCGGAGAACACTCACTAAGCCCCTGTAGGACTGGACCCTACAGAAAACCACACCCCTCTCTTGCCCTGCTCCTCAGTTACCTCCACCTTTACCTTCCCCTTTGCAGTAAATCGACCTGAAAGAGAAGCTGGTGTTCACAGCCCCGCGCGCTCTCTGCTCACTCTCCAAACTCCAGCCCCTGGCCCCAGCGCCGCCGGCCCTCGGTGAATGGCAGCGACCCACCCTGCTGCACCCAGGCTCCCTCCCTCCCTCGGATGTGTGTGCAAGCCCTCCCTGGCCTCCAGAAGCCCCTCTCCTGGTTTTTCCTCCAGCCCTCCACCCCTAGCACCCCTGTGCTCCTTCTGGTCTCCTTTGCAGATTCCAAACCTCTTCAAGTTGGAGTCCCAGGGTTCAGGCCTTGGTCCTCAGGCACACCCCACATGCGATTCCCACATATTCCTCTTCATCCAGTGCAGCAGCCTCTGCCCACTCCATCTCTGGCACGTCCCATTCCCCCAGGGGCGCTAAATAAAGGGACACCTGCGGACACACACGCTGAGGCTCCTGGGAAGGAGGACCGACCGCCTGAGGTCAGCTTGGGCCCCCCCACCCCACCATCTGTCGCTGCTCCTCGGGAGCTGCTGGTAGTCGTCGTAATAAACACGGAACCCACGATGAAACGTGAAGACGCTCCTCAGTGAGCATCCTTGGGCAGTGCACAACCTCCCCAGCCATGCCAGCCCGCGCTCAGGCCTCCCCCGTCTTCCCCATCTCTCCGGTGTCGGTTCTCAAGCTCGTCCTTCCCCGCCTCATTCCTCCAAAAGTCCTCAGCAAATCCTGGCAACTCCGCCTTCAGCATCTACCGGGAGCGGGCACTTCCCACACCCGGGCCCCAGCCCCGGCAGCCCCTGCACCGGGCGCCCGCGGGTCTCTGGCGCCCGCTCTGGACGCCTCCCCAGCGCTCCCCGCAGCGGCCAGGGGGGTCTCGCGAGCCTGCGCCTGCTCGGGACCCCCAGAGCCTCCCCGGGTGCGCTGCAGCCACGCGGGCCTGCGTCCCGAGGCCCGTACGGCTTCTGCGCGACATCCTCAGGGCCACCCGGCGCCAAATCCACACGGGACGGCACGGCCGCGTCCTGCCGAGCCCGCCTAGTTCGCCAGCGCGCACGTTTCACCGCGCCTGCTGCGGGACGGACAGACTTGTGGCTAGGTTGGAATAGCCGGCTCACTGAAGGCTCCCGCAGTGTTTGGTCAGAGGAGCGCGGCGCTAGTAGCAGCGGACGCCAGGACAGCCCTCCCCAGGGCTCCGGCCGCGCGCGGGCCTGCGAAGGGGCTGCGGGCAGGGGGGCGGGGTTGCAGTGCGGGGGCGGGGCTGCGAGGGTGGGGCGGGGCTGCGGAGCAGCGGGCGCCAGACAGGGCTGCGAGGGTGGGGGCGGGGCCGTGGGGCTGCGGGCCCGAGGCGGGGCGGGGCTGCGGGCGTGGGGGCGGAGCTGCGGGCGCGGGGTGGGGCGGGGCTGAGGGTGTGGGGGCGGGGCTACGTGCGTGGGGGCGGGGTGGGGCTGCGGGCCCGAGGAGACACAGGGCTGCGGGCGTGGGGGCGGAGCTGACGTACAGGAAGCAGCTCCCATTCGCTCTGGGCGGTGGGCGGAGATCCGGGCGGTACCAGCTGTCCCGGCCGCGGGGGGGGAGGGCCTCGACCAGCCCACGGTCGGGGGTTAAACAGTACGAGCTTTTCCAGGATACTGATCTCTCCGGGCAGCAGTCCTGCATTAGACAGTGTTTCCAAGGTGGAAGGGAAACCGTTTAAACGCCTCGAGATCCCTGGCTGCAGGGAGTGGTACCTTCCTCATTTCAGCCATTTATTTCCCGCTCTGGTCCCAGTGGTTCCAGTCAACGGGCGGGACGGGACGCAGGGGCCCGGAAGAGGCGCCGTGCACTTCCGGGTCGAAGAGCGCGCGGCGGCGGCGGCTGCGGCCGGGCCGGGCCTAGTAGCGACTCTCGGTCGGGCAGCGGCGGCGAGCCCTCAGGAGCGGCTGCGGGACGTGAGGTTTCCGGGTACGTGCGGCGGCCGCGCCGGCCCTGGGGTCCCTGCTCCTCCGGGCCGCGGGCCGCCTGTGGGCGCCACGCGCTTTGTCTGCGGCCTGCACCGTGGGGCGAGGCCTGCTCCGCGCTGGCCGCGGGCCGGGAGGGCGGGCGGGCGCGCGCGCTGGGAGGCCCCGCCGAGACTGGGAGGCCCGTGGCCTGCGGGCGGACGTCCGGGGCTTGCGGGGACGCGGCGGGAGCCCACCTGCCTCGCCCCGTGGCACCCACGCGCGTGCCCCCTGCGAGTCCGCCCTGCCGCGTTTGGAAGAGCGCTGTGACTTCGCTGCCTTGTTGCCAGCCTCTGTGCGTGGTTGCCTTCATGGGCTTCGAGCCTTGTCTGCATGTCCACAGGCCCGTGTGGCTGGCGGTTTTCCTATTCCTTAACTCTTGCAGTTCTCACAACAGCCCCTCTGGAGTAGGCATTGTTCCCGTTTTACCGATGAGGGGATTGGAGCCCAGAAAGGCTAAGTAACTGGCCCGCGCCACACAGTCGGGGAGGGGCAGAGCCGGCGGCCGGGTCCGCGCCAGCCCCGACTCCGACCGTGCTCTTTTTGACGCTGCTTGTGTTACCCCTTCTTTGGAGTTTCCGCGCTTTACTTGTTTCGACAACAGCAGAACAGCAGTCAGCTGGGTGAACCACATTGTGGCCTGTGGTCACTGGACAGGCTCTGAAGCTGAGCTGAGGTTTGACTTCGGGGTTGGCATACTTGACCTCTCCTGGACCACCCGGTTTTCTTTCTTATGGGAAGAATGTTAAGTCAGAGTACTAGTGGATGGATGACGCCTCAGCATCATGGCTACGACAGGCCTGGCCGTGGCCCTCAGCAGCGCTGTGTTCATCTCAGGCCCGCGGAGACCTTTGTTCATACCTGACTTTTTGACTATCATTGCAGTTTACAGTTTTGAGGTCTCCTAGCTGATACAGCAAATGGTGAATACAAGAATAAAAGTTGGCCTGAGTTGAGATGTTGGACTTGGCTGCAGGCTTGTTCAGTGCCTGAGATGGGCACTCAGGTTCCAGGACTGGCATGGAAAGGGATTGCAGGCACCCCGGACACCAAAGGCCCTTTTCATTCCTCAGTAACAATTGGGACTGCCAGTGCGTTGGTTCCCCTGGATTCGAAGAGAGAGAGAAATAGCGTTTCCGGTTTTCTTTTCCCCTTTAATCCCCCAATCTGGAGTCTAAGCAGGAGAGCCACAGTGGTCCCTCCACCCCAGAGCTCTGCTAGCCCAGCCGAAGGTGGCCAACAGCTGGGAAGGGCTGTGGTCTTTTCTGCGGAAATGGCTTCCTGGCCTGTGGCCTGGGACAAGGCAGAGGTGGATATGGGGAAGGGAAGATGTGGAGTTGGGGCTGCTGGTGCAACCAGGAGGTCCTAAACTAGGGGTTCCCATTAACCCGCATCCTGACTGCGGGGTTCTTGGTGGTCCCAAAATGTCTTGTTTCTGGTGGTTGTGCTGGAGGGTATCTGCAGAGACTTCCTGGGTTATTTTCTCGTCTTTGGCAAAATAACCCCTAGTTACTGTTGTGGGATACCCAGGAAAGGATGTTGTTCAGCCTCACATAACCTGAACCTTCCTGCTGCTGTGGTGGAGGATTGTAAGAGGCCCATGGAGGCTTCCCTCACCAGCTGTGGTAAAGTTCAAAGGCCTCAGGACTTAGCCCCACAGGTACACGGACTCGCAGAGTTCAGCCTCTTTCCTGAGCTGGTATTTCTGGCGAGCTCCTATGTGCCAAACCCCACATGGCCTCACTGGTCTCTTCTGGCAGCCCTGGGGCAGGCCCAGCCATTGCCTGTCGCCCTTCCTAACCCTTGGAGGTGGTCCTCAATCTCAGTGCATCAAGGGAGAAGCCAGGAGCTATTTGTTCACAAATTATGGCTCACTGCAGCCTCAACCTCCTGGAGTGAAGTGATCTTTGCACCTCAGACTCCCAAGTAGCTGAGACTACAGGCGGTTTCCACCACACCTAGCTGGTTTTTAAATTTTTTTGTAGAGACAGGGTTTCGCCATGTTGCCCAGGCTGGTCTCCTAACTCGCAGGCTCAAGTGATCTGCCTGCCTCGGCCTCCCAAAGTGCTTGGATTACAGGCGTGAGCCACCGCACCCGGCTAATTCACTTTTTTTTTTTTTTTTTTTTTTAAAGGAGACAGAGTGTCGCTCTGTCACCCAGGCTGGAGTGTAGTGGCGCGATCTCAGCTCACTGCAACCTCTGCCTGCCAGGTTTAAGCAATTCTCCTGCCTCAGCCTCCCGAGTGGCTGGGACTCAGGCGCATGCCACCACGCCCAGTTCATTTTTTGTATTTTGGTAGAGATGGGGTTTCATTGTGTTGCCTAGGCTGGTCTCGAACTCCTGAGCTCAGGCAATCTGCCCGTCTTGGCCTCCGAAAGTGTTAGGATGACAGGCGTGAGCCACCGCGCCCGGCTGCCGATTCACTTTTTTTTTTTGAGACGGGAGTCTCGCTGTGTCGCCCGGGCTGGAGTGCAGTGGTATGATCTCCACTCACTGCAAGCTCCACCTCCCAGGTTCATGCCATTCTCCTGCCTCAGCCTCCCGAGTAGCTGGGACTACAGGCACCTGCCACCTCGCCCGGCTAGTTTTTTGTATTTTTAGTAGAGACAGGGTTTCACCGTGTTAGCCAGGATGGTCTCCATCTCCTGACCTCGTGATCCGCCCACCTCTGCCTCCCAAAGTGCTGGGATTACAGGCGTGAGCCCCCGCGCCTGGCCCGATTCACATTTTTTACTTTCTGTGTGAAATACATCATCAGAGTGAGGATTTGCACTCGGAGTAGTTGGACCCTGGGACTCCCCCCAGCCCTGCTCTGTTGTCTCTTAGGTGGTCTCCTTGAAGTGCTCCCTGGTAGATTCATGTGAGAGAATCTGCCTCCCTCTTTCAGATATGTTTCTCCAGGGCAGGGACTGCATTCACCTTGTGCTGCACAACGTAGGGGCGCAGGGTAGGTGTTGTAGCAGGCGTCCCAGGAGGATGTGGGGTCCGTTGTTAGGGTGGTCACAGCTATTGCCAGGGAGTTAAGGTCCTCTTAGCTGCGGCCTGAGAGCTACGGCCACTCTAGGTCTCAGTGCACGCCATGGGAGAGGGGTCACCCTCCTGTGTGGGCCGTGGCCCTTGTGTGTCTCTGAATGGAAGAGGGGTCACCCTCCTGGATGGGCCGTGGCCCTTGTGTGTCTTTCAGAGCCGGTGTCTCTAGGATTCAGACGCAGGACAAGCAGGGCGTCTCTGTGGAGTTGCTGGGTCCACCAAGCAGCAGGGCTGCAGACTCCCTTGAGCGGGGATCATGGCCAATTGTCTTCACCTTAGGGCAGCAGGTAGAAGAAAGGTCAATTACTGATTTGGCAAAACCACTTCTACAATTGCTGTTTCCAGGCGGTAGTCACATATGGCAGTTGACAGTTCGGTGGAGTTGACATTCGTCACAATTTTAGAAGGCATCATCTTAGAATCTAGGGTTGGCCGGGTGCAGTGGCTCATGCCTGTAATCCCGGCACTCTGGGAGGCCGAGGCGGGTGGATCATGAGGTCAGGAGATCGAGACCATCCTGGCTAACACAGTGAAACCCCGTCTCTACTGAAAAATACAAAAAAAAATTAGCCGGGCGTAGTGGCGGGCGCCTGTGGTCCCAGCTACTCGGGAGGCTGAGGCAGGAGAATGGCGTGAACCTGGGAGGCGGAGCTTGCAGTGAGCTGAGATCTTGCCACTGCACTCCAGCACTCCAACCTGGGCTACAGAGCAAGACTCCATCTCAAAAAAAAAAGAATCTAGGGTTTTGCACGGTCTTGTTAGATGGGAAGTGAGGCCGTCCTGCTCTCTGAGCCTTAACCCCATTAGGGATTGTTGTCCAGGGGTGTCCGGACAGCAGTGGCGGTGACAGCCCCTTTCCCCAGTTGCTGTGGTACACGTGCAACCCGCGGTGGTGGCAGGAGCTGAGCTCCAATGCGAGGAGGCCCTGAGCTCGAGGGCCCCTGGCTGTGGCCCCCCACTTCCTGGCCTCTTGTGCGATGCGCTTTCGTCTGACCATGGATGGAGCTTGGACCTGGTGGGGAAACAGTGCTGCAGGGCCGGCTTCACTGCCTCGCTGGATTCCTGGCTCACTCTCCTAGTCGAGAGACCTTTCCTCCCAGGGTCGCCTGGGAAACAAGGTGAATAGCACTGATGAGAAATGAACCACGTGCGCGCATCTCATTCCTTATCTGGGACCAAAGTTTGAGGCCCTGGTGTGGAAGGAGGAGCGTGTCCAGCT